TCGATTGCGAGAGCTGCTCACACAAAGCTGCTGAAAATTTTAAGCGCACGCTTTTCATCTTGCCACTCCAAGTGGGTAGGATAGAGCATCTTTCATGAGAGCCCATGTGCTACTTTTGCCAGTTTGTTTCGTTCAGACTGGTACAGAAGTCTAAAGCAAAAATGGTGCTTTCTGGCCGCTTCTGCTCTCTGTGGCAAGAAAATCGAATGGGAGATAATGAAAACACTTTTCATAATTTTTTTCCGTTCATCCAGTAATTTCTAACACATTTTAGCAAGTGCACAGTATCAACTACAAAAAACAAAGGCTTTTGTGCATTCAGAATGCTAGTAGACAATACCTGGTTCGTTGGTATTACCAAAAGCGATATGATCTTCCTGTTGACGGCATCGTTTCAGTCACAACCACAACAACATGAGGTCCATCAATCTGTAGGCCTATAATTACCTTTTCCAACACATCGTGTAGCCCTTTTCTGTTGTTCTTGTTTAAGAAGAATGTGAACAACATCCCTATATGAAAACGTGGGCTGTTTTAGCTGACTCAGCACGTTGAGCAGCCGAGTCTCTTGAACTGCCACTTTGAACTCGAAGAACTGATGTAAATGTAGTTATTCTAATATTCGTGTGATGCCTCGCCATGCATCTGGCTGAGGATCACGACAGATTGTGCCACCTCACCGAGGAAGCACTCGCGTTTCGGCGGCGCAGTTCATGGAGCACGCAGAGAAAATAAAGTTAGTAACCAGAGTATGTGTTGACTGATCGCTTGCTTTCGCTTTCCGCTTATATGCGGCAGCCCGCTCCCCCCATGTCACATTGACGACAAGAAAGACGCTTTGAGCTGCGTGGAGGCTGTTTATTCTAGTGTTCCTGCTGCGCAGGGCTGAGTTTCCGTACTTTGGAATGCCTGGCGTCGGCAAGCTGGGGCCGTTCGACGTACTGACGAGCTGGGAAAAATACCGAGAGCGAACTGTATAGTACTTTATTGCCAACAACGCGCCGGATGACAAACAAAGAGCCGTCTTTTTTATGTGTTGTGGCCCAGCCACACACACTCTGCTTCAAAACCTTCTGGCACCTGTGAAGCCATGAGAACCACGTTTAACATTTATTTTTGATGTGCTCGGGAAGCATTTATTACCTAAACCGTCAGAAGTCGTCACTACGTTTAAGTTCAACTCAAGAGCACGACAGACGGGTGAAACGGCTGCGGACTACTTTGCATCTTTGAACAAACTCGCTGAGGATTGTGAGTTTGGAACCTTTCGTGACAGGATGCTGCGAGACCACATAGTTGCGGGAATTAAGCAGTGCACAGGCGACTGTTCGAGCAACCGGACTTGATGCTAGACATGGTGAAGAAAACCGTCATTGCAATGGAAGTGGCGAGATTTGCGCGCCCTTTCGATGGTGCCGGGGCCGTTCGTCATGCCGGTCAACGCCATGCCACCTGGTTTGTCGGCGGCGACGCGGAAAGGGACGTCATTTGTGTGCTTTCGGTGCCGCAGCGAGCATCTGGCGACACAGCCCCGTCATCTAAACAGTGTGTGCTGCAATTGCAAGCTCATGGGCCATCTTTCTTGTTGTGTAAGGGGACGAAAGGTATTTTGAATTCTAAAGGGCAGGCGCTGTTGACTGGGAAGAAAAAGTCTGTGCACGCTGTGCACGACACCGTTAGTTACGGAACTGAAAAATACTTGATGCGCCACAATTATACGAAATGTGGAAACTACAGGGTGCTGAGGACACACAGCCGTTTCTTCTAGAAGTTTCCGTGAATATAATTTTCCTGCAAATGGAGCTTGACACGTGCGCGAGTGTCTCGGTTGTCTCGGAACACACCTTTCGCCGCAAGTTCCAATCCGCGCGCCTGAAATCCTCAAGTGTCTTGTTTAAAAGTTATACGGGTGAGCTTATTCCTGGTAAAAGAGTCCTGCATGTGTCCGCGCCACTTGGCAGTCACAAGTGTCAAGACCTGCTGTTCGTCGTCTCGGGCCACTGCCCTTCCCTGATGGGGTGAGGCTGGATGAAAGGACTGGGACTACAACTTCAAAGAACGACAGATCTCAACGCAGTTTCGTCTATTCAGGACGTTATTGCGGAGTACCAGTGTATTTTCAACGATGAACTGGGGAACATTCAAGAGCGTTGCTGCAAAGATCAGCCTTCAAGAAAATGCGAAAGCCAAGTTTTCTCAAACCTCGTCCTGTTCTATTCGTGACGCTTGATCGAGTAAATGAAGAGGTGCTTCGCATGTAACTCACAGGTGTGCTATGGCCTGTGAGGACCTTGGAGTGGGCAGCACAAACTGTACCCATATGGAAGCGAAACGGGCGAATTCATATTTTCGGAGATTTCAACGTCACGGTAAACCCAGTGAGCATACCGGAGAATGGCCCCATACCTCGTGGTGAAGACCTGTTCACCAAGCTAAGTTGTAGAGAGAAATTCACCAAACTTGTCCTGAAGGATGCATACTTACAAGTTCCACTTGCTGGAGTCAACAAATGTTGACAATCAACACACCAAGAAGTCTCCACCAGTACACTCGCTTATCCTTCGGTATCACTTCAGCGCGTTCGATATTCCTGAGGAAAATGGGCAACCTTCTGCAGGGTCTGAGACACGTTGTCGTGTATTTCCATCATGTGTTGGTGACTGGACGCAACGACAAGAATCACCTCGGAAACGCGACCCGAGTGCTAGGCCGCCTTAAGGAGGCTATACTCAAGCTGAAACTGAACAAGTGTGTGTTTCTTCCCCCATAGGTCAATTACCTTGGCCTGGTTGTTACGTCTGCGCGTTTGCACCCAAATTGAAAGAAAAGTGAAACTGCACTAAAAGCGCCCAAACTAAGTGAGGTCGAGTAACTACAGAGCTACGTAGGGCTACTGAACTTTTATCGGCGGTTCCTTTAACGGCGGTTCCTACCCGACTTGTTCAGCGTGTCGCATCCTCTAAATCAAGTTCTTGGAAGCAAGGCACCATGGGTGTGGGGACGTGACCAAGAACAAGCTTTTCAACAAAGCAAGGAGCTACTCGCATCGGCAGCTGTTCTGGTACACTACGATCCCAAGAAGTCTCTGGTGCTTATCTGCGATGCTTCATCGTATGGTGAAGGTGCTGTGCTGGGCCAACAGAATGATTATTTCACCGAACGGCCAATTGCATTTGCATCGAGGAGTCTCGCACCTGCTGAGCATTACTAATGATTGATTTTTGGGGTTTACCATCCAAAAAACGCGATATGATTGTGAGAGACGCCGTAGTTGAGGGCTCCGGACATTTCGACTACCCGGGGTTCTTTCACGTGGACCCAAATCTGAGCACACGGGTCTACCACATTTCCGCCTCTACCGGAAATGCAGCCACCGCAGCCGGGACTCGATCCCACAGCCTGCGGGTCAGCAGTCTAGTCCCTTAGCCACTAGACCACCGCGGTGGGGTGAACGTAACTACAGCCATCTGGACAAAGAGGCCCTTGCCCTTAGTGTTTGGAGTGACCAAGTTTCGGCAGTATGTTTGTTGCCGAGCGTTCGAGGCGGTCACCGATCAGAAGCCTCTGCCTGGTTTGCTCGCCCTGAAAAACCTAGGCCTGAGACATGCTTACTGAGAGTGCTGCACTGGTCATTGATGCTGGCAGCTTACAGATACAAGCTGAACTGCAGACTTGGATCGAGCATTGCGAACACCGACTGTTTGAGTCGATTACCACTGCCTGTTACTGAACACACTGTTGAGCAGCCAGCCGGCAGACGGGGTCATGCTCCAGACTGCGTATCCCAAGGTCATGACGCCGTGTGTTGTGGCTGAGGGGGCTTCCAAATATCCTGTCTTGGCAAATATTCGTGAAGCACTGTGGGTTAGAAAAAAGCTGCGGGAACCTGTGCTGAAACTCTATGCTCATCAAAGTACGCAATTGAGTGTGAAAGAAAACTGCATTCTGCTAAGTTCACTTATGGTGGTTTCTTCTACTCTGTGACTGCAAGTGCTCCACCTGCTCCATGAAGGCCATCCTGGTATTTCAAAAAAAAGCGGTGGCTCGTATCCACGTGTGGTGGTTAACCATGGTTTATGATATCGCTAATATGGTAAATCAGTGCCGCGTGTGCCAGGTGAACCAGAGAACCGCTTGGCCAGTAGCCATGACGGCATGGCCGTTCGCAGAGGGGCCATGGTCGCAAATTCACATAGACTATGCCGGACCTCTCACGAATCAGTTTTTGCTGATTGTCACCGATGCCTTCTAAAAATGGGTAGAAGTCACACCTGTGACAACATCATCGACAGAGGCCACCATTCTATACTTGCGCACCATGTTTAGCACCCATGGGTTGCCGGACATAATCGTGTCCGCTAATGGGTCAGCCTTCGTGAAGTGCCAGTTTCAAGGAACTCCTCCAATGAAACGGCCTTATGCATGTGCCTATACCACCATATCATCACGCTTTGAATGGGCCTGCAAAGCGGGCAGTTCAAACGATCAAGTAAAAGCTGAAGAAGGCAGTGGATGAAGCTTCAAATGTCAGCTTGCACGAATACTTCTGATTTAGATATTAACGCCACATGAGACCACGGGATGCTCACCGGCTGAGTTGATGATGGGACGGAAGCTGAAGACAGCTTTGACCCTTTTACACCCCAGGATGTGATCCATACACCTGAATAACCAGCTCCAGGAGAAGGTAGCGCATGAGAAGAACGTCCACCTAACTCTGATTGCGCAACCAAGGGATGCTGTTGATGCGAAAAATTTTCGAGGTGGTCCAGCCTAGGGTCCTGTGACAGTTACTTCCACGTTGGGCGACCACAATTCTGATGTCACACTGCGAAATAGTCGACTCTGGGGGCGACACCAGGAGCTATTGCACCCTGACTTCGCCACACCTGACGCACCCTAGGATGCCACAGTAGAGGCTCAGGACTTTCCGCGTGATGTGAGTGCACATGGTGAACAGAACGGTATCGGACAAGCTCATCTAGACGCTGACGTTCGGAATGAAGCTCAACCTAGGCAGCAGATTTGCCAGCTGCTTCATCCCTCTCCACGTCTTAGTCGCAAACTGCACCTATGCGAAAAAGCTCAAGAGCAAGACGTGCCATGGAGCGCTATTCGCCATAGACGCCCTGGACTCAGTTTTTCCAGTGTGGGTGGGGAGAAGTGTGAAGTCTGGCCATGCATCTGGCTGAGCAGCACGACTGATGGCGCCACCGCACCAAGGGAAGCACTCACGTTTCGGCCGTGCAGTTCGTGGAGCACGAAACGGAAATAAAGTTAGTCACCGGAGTCTGTGTTGTCTCGTCGCTTGTTTTCGCTCTCACCTAACACGCGGGAGCCCCCCGCCTCCACATCACAAATAGCGACACATTTCTCTCGTTGTCTTTCGAAATACTCGCCCTGCGTTTCGTGAACCTCAAAAAAGCTTCCTAAATTAGTTCTTCAGAAGGGCTCACATCACACGCTGCGCAGACTCTTTTGCTTGTTTCTGGGTGTGGCAGTACGAGCTTGCCGTGTCGCAAAGAAATTTACAAGCATGCTGTGAAATAGCGTGCAGTATGCTAGCGAAAACAAAATCTCCGCAGAGTACTTCATACCGCTGGCTTTTTGGTAAGAAGGTGACAATGCTCTTTCAGAAACATTAGTGCATCAACCCTTTCACCTTCCTCTAAATCCTCAATCGCTATGTTATCAAGAATTAAAATGGGCATTGCTAACCTTCTACGCACTTTGTCTTGTCTGTGGGTTGTCTCTCGGCTAGCATTGTAGCTCTTCACATTGTCAAGAAGGTCAACGAGCACACGAAAATCACACATCTTAGAAGGATTGCACAGTCGATCGCAGGAAGACAAGGAAACATTCTTTAAAAATACACGAGCAGGTAAATAAGCAGTCTCTACCACAGATATGACTAGCTCTGGTGCATGCAATTTAATCGCCATATGAGCGAAACTCACGCACGAATCACATATGGTTGGAGACCAAAACACTTTGTGCCGAATGCGTTCTATGAGTGACCTAAGGTAAACAAAGTGCTTGACGTTGTTTTTCTATGCTTCGTTTTCATATATTATGTGAGAGTGCTGAATGGCTTGATGAAGGAATTGGTATTCAGTCCGCTTTTTTTTCGTAGGCACCTTCGCGTGTTTTTCGCTCGTCAGACACGTACGCTGGACAGCCAGCAAAAATTGTTGGCAATGCGTCCGGCATCAGCTGGTGAGTTTCATGGGTGTTTTGATAGTCCTCCCATCAAAATCTGTGCATGAAGACGTTGTCCTCAAATACTCTGGCTTTAAGTGGAGTTCGTATACCGGCATATGAAAAAGGAGTGCACGCAAATAACTCAAATACTATGAAGCCCATACATAGGGTATTCTTACGCAACCAGAAAGTGTAACGTATCAAATTCTACGTTTGTATAGCAGCTCTCTGCCATCCAATCCGGCTTTCTACTACAGTACGCGTGCGTGGAAGTACTCCTGTTTATCTGTTTGAATAACAAATATGTGCGATTTTGCTTACCTTGCGGTCCTTCAACTGTGCGACATTCTTATCGCCACGCCGCACCGCATGTTGCGATTCGGCTTTTCGCTTCGGCTGACTTCAAAAAAAAACAAAGAAGCTTTTAAACTTCCTTCGTAATTTCCTGTGCACATTGGCACAGAGCACCGGCGCATAGATCCACACACCCGTGAAACACAAAACTTAATGCATATATCCACATTTGAGGCTTTCGAAAGACACAATGACGCCTACAATGGTGAGCGCAGCACTGTGCACACGACAGTATCTAGGTGGCATAGTGACATGTTATGTCATGCGGCGTGCACAGTTTCACAGAGCATGGACGGGTGATGATGATAGGTGGCTAGATGGATAGATGGATTGCTGGATATGGCTGTACCCTTTAGATCAGAGGTGGCTAGGGTCACCAAGCCGTAATACTTAATGAACCAAAATGTGGATCTATTTTTTCCCTTTAAATAGTGAGGTTGAGGATTCGTACTTTTCAGTGAAGCGTTTATTTTCACTCGTGTCCTGACTTTAGCCACCAATCTCATAGCCTCTTTCTAGTTATTTCTACCTGCTTATAGTCTATTGTGCCCTCCCTGTCCCTAAACCCGAGTGCTTTAATAAACTCTGAGCCATTATCCTGAACTATAAGGTGGAGCACTTTACAGAACATTATCAAGTGTTCGGCACATCCTTCTTCCTCCCTGCACGCACTGCACACCGTGTCTACCCTTTCTTATTTGGCCCGATATGTCTTGGTTCACAATACTGCAGTCCTGGCCTCAAACAGTAGAGAACTACCCCAAGTATTATCATAGGTCCTCTCCTTGGCAGTTTCCTTCTTAAAAGTTCGATAGATCTCCAGTGCGGACTTCTTATTCATTCCAATTCTCCACATATCGGTCTCAGCTTTTCTCACCTTTTTATTAACCGATAATTCTTTATGGTTTGGCCCCCTGCTGTTTACTGAGTATTAACCAGTCAACTTTATAATTCGCTTCGTCCTTTATTATTGACATTCTTTATGTACAAGTAGCTGAATACCTTCCTAGCCCAACGCTCTTCCCCATTTCTCTAAATAGCTTCTCAAATTTTATCTTGCGGCTAACTTCCCTGCCCTCAAATGATGTCCATCCCATACGACCTTGTACTCTCTGATTTGGTGTATTCACGTGAGCCCCTAAGGCAAGCCTACCTATTTCACGTTGCTTAATTTCTAACCTTGCTTGAACTTGTGATATCATGCACAAGAGAGAATTGCTGAATGTCAGACCAGAAACCATGACCCCTTTCCATATCCTTCTCACAACATTATACATAATGTAATCACAGTGCCCTGTTTTTCATCACCGCTGCACTCCTGTTACCTTTAGTCGTCACGTATATTTCGTGTTTCCTTAGGTACTTGGCTGCATTGCTTATCCATACGCTCATATATTTGTATTTATCTGTTATCTTTAGCGTGACCTCCTGTATTCTAAGCTCACTACCTTCGTTGTCATTGAAAATCATGACTGCTGATTTTTCCTTACTGAATCTAAAATCTAACCTATCTCCCTCATTACCGCAGATGTCCATCAATTTCTGCAAATCTTCCTTGTTGTTGGCCATTAGCACTATGTCATCTGCGTACATTTATGCTGGTAGTGCCTCATAAATAAGTTTTCCTTGTTTGACTAAAGAGAGATTAAAGCCCGGTCCACTTCCCTCTAATTTTGCTTCTAATCCTTGTAGGTACATCATGAACAATAAGGGTGACAGGGGGCACCCTTGCCTAAGCCCCCGTTTTACCTCTGCAGGCATGGATACCTGTTTTTCCCACTTTATAACTACATTGCTACCTTTATAGATGCCCTTTAAAAGATTAGTGACTACATGTTCCACGCCTAGTGTGTCTAGTATTCCCCACAATTCCTCTTGAACAACGCTATCGTACGCTCCCTTGATATCCAAAAATGCTAGCCACAGGCGCCTGTGTTCCTTTTCTGCTATTTCGATGCACTGTGTCAGTGGGAACAGATTGTCTTCCAACCTCCTGTGTTTACAAAATCCATTCTGGAGTTCCCCCAGCGCCTGCTAATCTTCTTCTATCCATGCCTGCAGTAATTCCTTTATAATCTGCATCACTAGTCTGCAGACCACTCATGTCACTGTTACAGGAAAGTAGTTGTTTATGTCAGCTTTGTCCCCCTTTTCTTTATAAATCATGCTCATTCTGCTCAGTTTCCATCGATTGGGGACTTCACCAATGATAATTATTTTATTTATTATTTATTATTTTATTTATTACATACTGCAGTCCGTAGACTAAGCAGGAGGGGCACAAAAAGGGAGCATAGCGAAAAAAGCGAACAAGTTATACAGCAAGTTAGAATACACAAAGCTACTGAAAAACAAGTCATACTAAATAGGATGCTTAGTTATACATATCTAGAAGAAAAAGCGAACAAACTTCTAGACACAGTTTCAAGCACAAAAAGTAAAGCTACAGAGTAGAAATAATAAGATGAGGTAATCTAGGATTGAAATATCAACCGTGTTGATTACACGAGAGATGCATGTAGTTTTCAAAGTCGGGAATGCCACGTTCAGGAAAAACCTTTGAAGGCAGTGCATTCCATTCTCTAATGGTTCTCGGAAAGAAGGAATGTTTGAAAAGGTTAGTACGTGCAAAGTAAGGTGTCAAATCACGATTGTGAGCATGCCTGGTTTTCATGGAAGAAGAGGGAGCGATGTATTTACTGGGATCAATATCAAACTGATGGTTACGAAGCAGGAAAAGAAACTTGAGTCTGGCGATAGTTCTACGCTGTTTCAAGAGCGGAACGTTGTTAGTAGCCATAAGTGATATAGGTGATTCAAGATTTTGATAGGGATTGTAGATGAATCTTACCGCTCTCCTCTGGACCATTTGAAGTTTATAAACATCCTTTTTAAAATACGAGTCCCAGGCTACGCATGCGTACTCTAGACAGGGTCGAATAATTGTATTATATGCAAGAAGTTTGATCTGAGTTGGCGCGTTTTTTAGTTTGTGTCTAAGAAACCCTAGTTTTGTAGAAGTTGAGAACAAGCGTAGTCAGTGTGGTTACTCCACGACAGTCGATTGGTAATATTGACTCCCAAGTATTTAAAATTGCTCACTTCGATCAACGGATTATTATTTAGGGTGCAGCGTGATGCAAAAGGGGTAATTTTATTTCCGGTACGCATATAGACCGATTTACTAATGTTTTACTCCATCAACCAGGTATGGCACCAATCGGAGAGAGAATTTAGGTTGTTCTGCGAGCACTCTTGGTCCCTTTCACTTTTAATTGGCTTGTAAAGAATGCAGTCATCTGCAAAAAGCTTTAGGCTTATGGCGGAGGTGTCAACTGATGGAACGATGTTATTGATAAAGATGAGAAAAAAGACAGGGCCAAGGACACTGCCTTGTGGAACTCCCGAGGTTACAGGTAGAACCCCAGAGCAGCAGCCCTCGACCTGGACAAACTGTTTGCAGCTGGTAAGGCAGGAGCGGATCCAATTAATTACAGTAATGGGTAGGCCAATATTTGAAAGTTTGGTGAGTAATATACTATGGCAAACACAGTCGAAAGCTTTTTTAAAATCTAAGAAGATGGCGTCTATTTG